TTGAAAGAATAACATATTAGGAACAATTGAGTTTTTCCAGAATTAAAGGAACTAAAAATATTTACATATGAATAAATTTAGCAGTATAAATTATTAAATATGTCAAAAGAAGCTATATGATCATCTTTATCAATGTCAATAACAAATTTAATAAAATTTCTGCAACCCCAGAAATCGACAGTTATGAACAGTCATAGCATTTCATATAATTATAGGGTTAGTAGAATGATATTTCTAGCACTGTATCTGAATAAAAGTATTATTCAATTTTTGTTCTTTGTTTCTAGATATTGCTTTGCATTCTGTATTGTTGGGGTTTAAACCTGGCAAATACAAATTTCAGGCATTCAAAGTGTACTGCACAAAGTCTTAACTGAGGAATAATTTCCACCATCAGTATTTCCTGACACTGTTGAAGAGCAGAAGGGTGGAACAGTGTCCCTTCTTTGAACAAGGCATGAATTCCATTCGTGAGAGTTCTAGCCCTGTGATCCAATAACCTCCCCAAAGCCCTGACTCCCAATACCACTGCACAGAGAGTTTAGTTTCAATATAAGAATTTTAAGGAAATGCATATATTCAGACAGTAGCAAACAATTTTTAAATTTTGGTTATTTCCTTGCTATTGAATTGTTTTAGTTCTTTATATTTTAGAAATTCTCCTCTCAATAAATGTGTGGTTTTCAAATATGTTTTAGCATTCTGTAGCTTGTTTTCTCACTCTTTTCATTGTTTCCTTTGCTTTAAGGAAGTTTTTTAATGGCTGTAATAACATTTGTTCCTTTTTCCTTTTTGATCTACACTTTTGGGATAATATCCATAAAACATTGTCTAATGTCAGAAAGTTTTGCCCTGTGCTTTCTTCTATTATCTTTACATTTTTCAAATATCACAACAAAATCTTAAATATACTTTGGGTTACTTTTGTATGTGGTATGAGATAATGATCCAATTTTATCCTGCATTCGGATAGCCCGTTTTCTCATACCCATTGTTTGAACAAACTATCTTCTCCCTGTATGTGTTCTTGTCACTTTCGTTGAAGATCGGTTGATTGTAAATACATACATACATATGGCTATCTAGGGTCTTTTGTGGTTTCATATGGATTTTAAGATTTTTTCTCTAATTATGCAAATGGAATTAAAATGTTGATAGGGATTGTGTCAAATTTGTAGATTGCTTTGGATGGTATGGACATTTAAACAATATTAATTCTTCCAATTTGAATGTAGGATATCTTTCAACTTATTAGTATCTTCAGTATCTTTCATTGATGTTTTAATAGATTTTAATGCAGGAAACTTTAGCCTCCTTGCTTAAAATTATTGCCATTTTATTTTATTTTGCTGCTAATTTAAATGGGACATTTTCTTAATTTCTTTTTGGAATAGTTCATTTTTAGTAGGTAGCTATGAAACTATTTTTTGTATGTGAAATTTTCTAACCCAAAGCTTTACTTAATTTGTTTATTAGTTGTAGCATTTTTCTGGTGGAGTCTTTACCTATTTCTCTATTAAAAGCATGCCATCTGCGAAGCAATTTTACTTTTTCCCTTTCAAATTTAGATGACTTGTCATCTTTTTTTCTAGTGCCCTTTGTAACACTTCTAGTACCACAGTCAATAGAATGAGAGTGGGCATCTTTGTCTTATTCTTCAGCTTAGATGGAAAACTTCCAGGTTTCCCACTGATTATAATATATAAACTATAGTTTCTCATGTATAGCTTTTGTTGTGTTGAGTTCATTTCTATATCTGTGTGTTGTTTGTATCATGAAAGAAAGTTGAATTTGGTAGGATATATTTTCTGCCTCTGTTGAAATGAAATTTTATTCATTCATTTTGTTAATGTTTATTTTGATTACTTTTCATTGAACTACAGGCCAGGGAAAAACCCCACTTGACTATGGTATATTAGTCTTTTAAAATGCTACTGAGTTTGATTTGCTAGCATTTTCTTGAGTATCTTTGCATCTATACTCATCAGTAATTATAGGGGCTGGCTTGTCTGGCTTTGGTATTAGGACAGTGCTAGCCTCATAAAATAAAGTTGGAATTTCCACCTTGTCAAGTTTTTGAGAGAGTTTGAATGCCATTGTTGTTAATTCTTTGAACTCTTTAATTCTTTGAATATTTGGTTGAATTTACCAGTGGAGCCACTAGTCCTGTGCTTACCTTGATTGGTCCATCATTCATTCCATCTCCTTACTCATTCATCTGTTCAGATTATATTTTTCATGGTTCCTTCTTAGTAGGCTGCAGATTTCTGGGATGCTTCCATCTGTTCTGGGTTATCTTACTTGTTAGGATGTAATTGTTCACAGTAGTCTACTATGATCCTTTGTACTCCTCTAGTATCATTTGTAATTTGAATCCTTGCTGATGTATAATTTTATTTAGTAGAGTGTTTTTCTTAATCTAACCGAAGTTTTGTCAAATTGGTTTATCTCGTTTAAAATAACTCTTAGTTAAATTGATTATTTCAGTTGTTTTTGTAATCTCTATTTGACATATCTCTGCTTTATCACTTCTTTCACTTGTACTAATTTTGGACTTAGTGATATCTATGTTTCTATTTTTATTTGCCTCAATATATGTTTTTCTTTCGCTTTAGATTTATTCTTTGAACTACTCGTTGTTCAGGAATTTGCTGTTTAATTTCTACATAGCTTTTGTCCTGTTGCTGATTTCTAACTTTATACCAGTGTATTCAGAAGAATATTTGATATGGTTTCAGTGCTTAGGAAGACTCCATTAACTCTTGGCCCTAAAGAAGAAGAAAGTCAATGGGGCATTCTTAACTTCTGCTTGATTATGAACTTATTGCACAGTTCCATTAATTCCAGTGGATTACATAAATCCAAGTGAGTTAAAATATGTGCTATCAGGTCATAGCATTCATGCAGCATAGATTTTTTAAAAACTTTTGAATTATTATAAAATCAATTTTTAGGGATTCAGAGAAAATGACCTCGAATCACATAAGTAAATTGGGTGAAAATGCTAATTTCTTTTGTAAAAATAGGAAGACAAGAATCAAATTCATGTATATGTGTGTATATATGTGTGTGTATACTAAGGAAGAAAAAAAGGAGAGGATTTTAAATTGTGGATATATTTCCTTATTCATTAACTAATAAGTATATTTCAGAAATATACTTTCAAATTATTCCACTCATTTTTCTCCCACATCTGTATAGTGTAAGGTAGTGTTTATTTAAAATCTAGTTTCTTAACTTACAACTGATAGCTATATTTTAAAATCTAAAATTTATATTTCTAGTCATAGTGAGTAAAATTTTAATTACTTGTATAGAGATTGCACATAGAAGATTTTAGCCTAGAATTGTTTCTTCTCTTTTGTATCCTTTACTTTCATTTCCCTGAGAGTCAATGAGATGAAATAATACAAACTGATTTTGATATTAAGTTCAAGGAAACATGAGGTTTTACATTGTTGTGTTTTAGCACAAGGAATTTCCTCAATATTGTGCTTATTTCTACAGTATGGATAAGCAAAAGTTGCCCCCACCACCAATAAGGGAATTAGCACACGTTTACGTTCAATGATGTATTTCCCTTCCTTTCTACTAACATGAAACACATTGATGTTCATAACAGCTGTGCATGCACCGGAGAAATCATCTGTGGCATTTGTGTTTGTCTTAGTTACTTCACTCGCTAAGACAAAATACTCAAAGTTAAAGAAGGAAAGGTTTACTTTAGCTCACCATTTAAAGAGATTTCTGTCTATAGTTGCCTGGCTCCAAGGCAGGGTGAATTGGCAAAGAAGTATTGCAGAAAAGAAATAGTGCATGTCCTGGCAAGCAGAAAGCAGCAAGCAGCAGTCGCAGCGAGCCTGCCTTCCCTCTCTTCCTTTATATTCCATCCAGGCTAGAAACCTCTTGATTGGTGCCACCGACACCTAGGGTGGGTCTACCATTATCCACATCCAGAACTAGGCTAAACTCATTTAGTTATCACATATCCTGAATCCCAATGCACAAACCCTAGATCTGAAAAGCCCACCTATGAGCATTTGAGGCTCTTGGAGGACATTTAGATACAAACCATAGTGATGTTTAATTATAGTTTAGTGTTTCTCCTACTTGTCTTTTATTTCATATGCCAGGGCTGGTGCTGTGAGGCAAACTGAAGCCCGCCCCAAATAAGACTGAGCAGCACTGTTTGAGTCAATGCCAGCTTTTAATTAAAGATAGTTAACTGCCTATCTATTTCTCTTGAATAATGATCTGTGTCGATAGGAAAATACCTATGTCACTATGACAAGAACGTTGATTTCTAACCTGATTCTAGATCATGGGTATGAAAACAACTTTCTTTATAGGGAAAGGAAAAGCTAACTATGACAATCAATCCGAACTGTTATAGACATAAATTATGCAAGTAACATAAAATAAATGAGACAGGTGGCCTATGTGCATTTCCAGGTGTGTCATTTTCTGTGGAAGGGATGATTCACTGCAGTAGTACATACATGAGTTCTCTTTGAATTGATCTTGTATTCTCACTTAAAATATTTTTGAAACAATGAAGAAACGCTGATTATTCAGAATCTAGAGTTTATCGCTTCTATCTGGGGCAAAATTTTAAAATATATATGTATATTGAATAAAATTGTGATTGTGTTAGTAGTAACTGAAAAAACAATATTTGCAATTTTAATAAGGAACAATCACTAGAATCTCACTATTTTGTGAAAATTTTCCTACAATAAACACAGAAATATAAACAGATGCCCAGACAGATGTGGTTGAGGTTTTACTCTCCACAGGGCACTATTGGCTCTTATTAAGAGACGTCTAATCAAGCTGGATAGATATTTCTTGAAATGATGCATGGTATGCGGTGCATGCTTTCATTGTGCTTCCTGCCATTATGGAATAACGCGTCTTATTTGGAAATACAATGATCATTTCTGTTGGATCATGCTCAGTCAGCTTATATAATAACATCTATATTTTGTGAATCATTTCAGATTTCAGAGAGCTATGCCTTCCTACCAAGAGAAGCGGTGACTCGATTTCTAATGAGCTGCTCAGAGTGCCAGAAAAGAATGCATTTAAACCCAGATGGAACAGATCATAAAGGTAGCTGCAGTGTCAAATCGTGAGATTTAAAGTAATTTTATTCACAGTGGCAATTTATATCTCACATTTTTATAAAACTGTGGTCAGATCATCTTGCTTGTTCAAGGAGGAGGCAGTGAATTTTGAACATCTACTTACAAAGTAATTCAGTGCCCATTCCTAGAAGAAAGTTTCAACTGTGGAAAATAACATCTATTCTCTGTTATATGTATTAATTTTCATCTCTTGTGGTATTCAGCAAGGACATTGATTTCTATCAATGACCTTCTAAGTCTACCTATTCCTTACTTCTAGAAATCAATGAATATTATGAAATTCCTTCAATAAGAATTTTTACATAAAAATTGACTTGGCTTTAGTTACATTAAAAATTTCTAGATTGTTTTCCTCAATACATATGTATTTCACTGGTTAAATTGATCTCAGAGATGTATTTGTGCTACTTATTCCCATGTGTGTGAAAATAAGCAGTCTGATCAATAAGAGAAAATAAAAGCAAATTTCCTTTGGCACTCAGACATATAGAAAGTGATTGTGCAGCAAAGTAGGAAAATACCAATATCTGTGTTTAATCACTTTATTAACTTCATTTTTTGTTACTCAAAATACTTAAAAGCCCCTCTGTTATTAGAAATAATTAATTTATTCATATTTAAAACAACATACCTTTATGGAAACTTACCATTTTTTTTCGGCAATCCATCTACAATGCTGCCAAGCTTTTGAACTCTTGGCACTTAGAAAACTATTTTAATTTGGAAAATTCGGACCATTCTGAAGTTACAGGTAGAATGCAATATCACTTTTATTACCCTTTAAAAAATGTCTTGTTACAGATAATGGAAAGCCTCCCACTTTGGTGACCAGCATGATTGACTACAACATGCCAATTACCATGGCCTACATGAAGCATATGAAACTGCAGCTGCTCAACTCCCAACAAGATGAGGTAAAACGAAAGCATCTATGTGTGCATCACTCTAGAAATGGAGTAAAGTTTGATAACCATGGATATCGCATTAAGAATGATGGCATGCAATTTGCAAACAGTAATTAATATTTTTTTAGTGAAAGAATTTTCCAGGCTTGTACAGGTAGAAAAAGCAGGAAAAGACTCTAAATGCTGGATACAGAGTCCCTGTCTTAACCAGACTTAGTGTTATGAGTGAATTTGACCATTCCTAATACCTGTGGTTCTCTCTGGAGCACGACTGAGCTAGTGTTGGTAAAATACTACAAAGTTCAGGGTGAGAGAAGTTAATGTATGGTTGATAACGAGCATCTAAAGAAATTTGAGCTGTAAGGCTATTGTCAATCAAAAAGTCAATTTAATGGGTATTTCAAGTATCGTGATTTCTCCACCATTCACATCGTGTCTATATTTTAGTTATTTTTCTCTTAACCATTATTTGATATGTTTTCTCGCTTCTCTGCACTTTATAGAGAACATCTGTGGTGATTCTCCTTGATTAGAAGTGTTTTGATGTTAATTTGTATAGTGAGAATTTAATAATGTACTTTTATGGATTAGACACTAAAGCACATTTATTGAATATTCTCTACAGTTGTAGTCTTTGCTCATTTTAGTTGAAGAATATCAAAAAATAGATTAAGATATGTATGTGCCCTGTTTTTAGTCTGAAAAATATGAAAAAATAGCCAATGCACAGTAGAGATTTACGAAATCCTTGTTACTGATTGATAACTAGTTTGTAACCAGTAATTAGTAGAAAAAATACAAATTATTAATACTAGGAACAGATATTTAGGCTAAAATATTCTCTCCTTGAAAATTTTCTAGAATAGGAAATATGGTAATTTAATTTTCAAATATTACATTTCTTGGTAAAGCATCATTAAAAACTTTTGAAATTATTTTGTTGAGTTAACTGTTCATAAAACTCAAAGCAACCTTTGTTTTTTCTTTTTGTATTTGACCAAGTTTAATCTTGAAACTGCATTTATAAAATGTCTCAACCTCAGTATATTTTATTCATGGTATGCTCTTTAAGAATGTCTTTATGCATGCTTTGGCAGTATCGTATTACATATTACCAGATGGTTAACTATAAATGATTGGATAAATAGCAATAAAATTATTAGGCTGAAGACATCAAAGATAATTAAGAAAATATTAGTGTCTATCTATTCCTGGGAGTGAAAAACATTACCTCCATGATTTATTACATAATTGAAAAAAACTAAAGTCTCATAAAGAAATTAGAGCTGTCAGAGTATTTGTAGGAATCTCACTTAGATTTTGATTTTTTAAAGGCAAAATGGTAAAATCAACTTTGTGCCAACAGTAGAGTCCGTATATACTGAATCTGTCTGATTTCTTAAAATGAAAACGTATTGTATACAAAAGAAATAGAGTCTTTTAAATTTACAACTGGTTTAGGGAAATAATTCCTATTCATGTATCTTGAAAATATTAAATTGGGTTGTACTATCTCAAAATATTCAGATAAATCACAGGTTAGATTATTTTAAAAATTTTAGAAAACTGTGGTTATAAAAACATATGAAGGTGTTTAAATAAGAAAAGTCACAATAAAGTGTAATTCCAGTAAGATATACCTTAGTGATAAATTATATTTAAATTTGAATAAACATTAATCCAATAAATTCACAATATTCTTATTGACCATAAAAACGCATAAAGAAATAAACAAGTAACTTTATTTGGAGGATATCATTTGAACAGAACTGAAGAAAACTAGGTATAGCCCTTTTTTTTCCTACTGAGGATCAAACTCAAGACCTTGTGCTTTCAAGGCAAGTGTGGTGCCACTGAGCTAAATCCCAAGCCCCAGGGTGTAGCCCTTTTAAAGCAAGTGTACTTTCAGTACTGTAGGAACAGGAAGATAGTCAACACAGTGGGGGCAAAATGAATACTAAAGAGAATAATAGTAGAGGCTGTTAGAGAAATGGTGAAAAGCCAGGTCATGTAGGGCCTTATATTTTAATAACCCTTCTTTTTTCTTTTTTTTTCTTTTCTTTCTTTCTTTCTTTCTTTCTTTCTTTCTTTCTTTCTTTCTTTCTTTCTTTCTTTCTTTCTTTCTTTTTTTCTTCTTCTTCTTTTTTTTTTTACTGTGGGTAAAATCCACAGGGCAGTTTTAACAGAATTGATGTGATTGGATCTATATTTTAGCAGAGTCACATAGGTTGCTTTGATTCTGATGAGAATAAATTGAAGAGGAGAATGTGGATTCAGGGATGCAGGGAGGGAGAGGAGGGAAAGAAGATAAAAAAGGGATTTAAAATGTGTTATAGACATGTACCAACCATACTCAAGGAACAAAAACATAATGCACTGTGAACATGTACTAATATCTTAATTACTATTTCATTGATGGCACAAAGTATGTGGCATCCACAAGTTAAGAAGAAAATGTATATTTTAGCTCACAGTTTGTATAGGGTGGCATAGCAGAGGAGAAACAGTCAATGGCATGGCAGGCAGGAAGCAGTTTTCTTTCCCTTTTTATTACATCTAAACTATAAGCCTCTTGGTTGGTGCTACCTGCACCAAGGGTGGATTTTTCCCTCTTCAGAAAATCCATCATTCATACCTAGAACTATGCTAAAACAATCATTTGACTAATCCAGTATCATACACTCCAAATCCTCACACTCCCCAAATCTCCACCTATGAGCACATGAGGCTTCGGGAGGGATGTCTAGATCTAAGCCATAACATTAATAAAACAAAATTTTAAAAAATCAATTTGGGTATCAAGTTAACAAAATCATTTCTCCTCCTGCACAAGAATTTGGCCTTTGAGAACTTTCTAGCTTTTGTTTCTCTCACAAACATGATCATATTGAAAAAGTAACTACATTATTAGATAACATTTCTAATGGCAAAATGATCCCAATTGGTAAATTGTACACAAAAATTATGTATGGTGAAACATTTTAGGTTTCTCTGAATTAGATGATTCTTGTGACTGACATGTTCCTCATGGGGACCTGAGAATCATTAACTGTGGATTTATGAGATTTTGTCTGTTTTGGGAAATGAGGTTTCTCTGCCAGGTTCCCAGCCTACCTGATTTGATTACTGTTGTATCCTACCGAGCTCTCCCAGAGAAAGATAATGAAAATAGGTTAATCCTATGATTTGCTACTGGACTGCTGCAAAGGGACCAGAAACTCTGATATTACCTACCTCTTTCTTCGACTATATTTCTAAATTAACCTGATGCCAAGAGTAGGCAACTATAGTTATAGGGGTATACATTTTAGTTGAATCAGACAAGATGTCTCAATAAGTATTTCCTTAGAAGAAACTAGTAGCTTGAATTAGAAGGGTAGTAGTTAAGGAAGGAAAAAGAGGTCAGATTATCACTGTAATTTAGGATTAACTGGCAAATTGTATGCAGTTTAAGAAAGAAAGTGAAGAGCTAATGAAGACTTCAAAAATTTTAATTTAAGCCAGCTTTGTAGAATTGCTATTAACTAGTATAGGAAAGGTTGTGTATAGAAAAGGTTTGATATGTGGTGTTGGTAGTTCAATTGTGAGCTTTTTATTAGGAACCCAAATAAGTTTAGGCATTTATTAAACATTCCAATAAGTTTGTTAACAGACAGTTGGCCTGTGGGGCTAAGAGAAAAGAAGTAAATCAAACATAATCTTGGGCACCCTGTGATTATGAAGGTCATGACTGTGGACTGAAAAATAAAGCCCAGTGACTTTGTCTTGGGAAATTCTATTGCTATGACATCTAAGAGATCAGAAGGAACCAACACAGGATATTGAGAAAGAGTTGCCAAAGTTATTAGTAAGGAATTTAGAAGTTTGTAATCTATAAGAAAGCTTGAGGAACTGCTTAAGGAATCCCAAGTAAATTTATTCTGTCAAATAACTGATAAGTGAATTTAAAGCAACACAAAGCATTGAATCTGTATTTAGCCTTATACTCTTGAGCTAAGAAGTTTTTTGGGGGATGGAGAGGTATAAGCCTGATTAGAGTGGGTACAAAGAGAATTGGAGGGAGGAAGGTCATTGGAGAGTTCTGCTCTGGAGGCACGAAGAGGAAGGGGATAGGAGCTGCAGGTTGAATGAAAACAGGGCTTTTTTGTATTTTTTATTTATTTTTCTAAGATTAGATGAATACAGAATATTTGCATGTTGATGGGAATTGTGCAGCAGAAGGAAAAAATGAGACAAAGAAGAGAACAAAATATTAAAGCAATGCCCTCAAAATTTGTGGAGTGGTTGCTTATATAAAATTGGGAGGGCTGGCTTTAGAGGGGATGGATCAGATATGGGCACATGAATGGTGGTGGAGCCTGTGGAAATGTTTTCCTGTTTGATCTTAATACCCTAATGAAAGCGGAAGAATGAGAATGTTTGAAAAGGTGTTGGAAGTTTCTGAAGAGAAGGTGAGAGATAGAAATTCAGACAGTGGGGCATGAATGGACCCAGCAAATTATCCTCTTTTGGGATTCATGGTCTTATATTTCAAGTGAAATAATTTAAATGGCTGCTCGCATTTATTTTCAGCTGTATATGAATAGGATAAGAGGGAAAGTAAAATTGTGTTGAGGGTCTTGTGAAAAGAGAGAGTGGTCAACAAACCATGGAATTTTAGCCATGTTCAGACAAGTGAGGTCATGAGAGAGGTGGGGGCAAGAGGCGGAGGTCAGGGGAGAAGGATTAGAATTAATGGATTGTACCTATTATTGGAATGGAAATTTAGTCGGGGTTGGAATATTAGTGGGAATTATTTGGGAAATTTGAGATGCTTTACTAAAATTGTGATGCTTGAAATAAAGATTATGGAACATTTTCATTTCTGGAAGTGGAATGCCCGGGACAGTTATTGTAGCTGTCTTGCTGAGGAAGGTAGAGGACAAAATCATTGAGGGTACTCATGGAAGTGACAGGTCCTTGCCAGATACTGAAAAACCCATGGATTTCAGCATGAGAAGAATTGAAGTGAGTGAAGGGAGGTTTAAGAAAACCTAGGGGAGGGCCAGAAGGTTAGCTCAGTGGTTCTGCTGCCTGGGTTCTGGGTTTAATCCCCAGTACCAAAAAAGAAAAAGAAAAAGTTAGGGAACAGGACTGATATGAACATAAGCAGATGACTACACCCAGTAAATGGTAATTTTCTAATATAAATTTTGCTAATTATTTTTAAATGACATATATAGATATAATTCATTTTAAAATAATTAAAATAATATATAAATATATATGTATATATAAAAATACATAAAATATATATATTTAAAGCCCTGTGAAATGATAGCAGAAAGTTTTACTATATCATCTAATTCAATCCTTAAAACAACTGACTTATTTTATCTCTATTTTGTAGATGGGAAAGCAAAGCTCTAAGGTAATGAAACTTACCCTAATCATAATCTAGTTGTAGAGTCAATCAGACATTTGAACCTAAATTTCACTCACTTCATAGTCCCACATCTACCTCCTCTTTAGCACATAATTTTAAATTATTGCTAACTATTCACTGTTTTGAAGTCAATGAATGTAAATATAATATGGTGTAGCCCAAAGGGGAAAATGTAGATGATTTTCACTTACAAACTTTTATGTGTTATTCCCAAAACTTGTGATTTAACACAACAATGATTTATTATTTGGCATTATTCTGATAGTTAAGAATTCAGGCTTGACTAACTTGGGGTTTTCTTTTGTTAACCTAAGTAAGGACCACTTACTCAATTTCACTCGACTGGTAGCTGGACTAGGCTTCAATGAAATATCTAGCTTTTTGATGCTCATGTGCACATATCTCTACTATCTGGCTATCACTTGGGCTTCCTCACAGCCCAGGGACCTTAGGGTATCTAGATTATTTCTTATATGACAATCAGCTTCCATGAGAAAAAAAAAAAAAAGCAGAAGTGCCCTAGTCATCTGGGCCTGCCGACATCACTTCTGCCATGTTCTATTGGCCACAGAAAATAACAAATTCAGCTCACTTTCGAAGGGAAGAGAAACAGATACCACCCCTTGATCTGAGGAATGACGTGCATGTACCTCTAGGAAAGGAACTCATGGCAGCCAGCTTAGAGAATTCTGTCTACAACGGTCAGTAACCATGGAAAAAATTCTCAGTCACCTATATCTGGGGAAGTAAATTTTTACAATTAACCCATTTGGGAAATACTACATTGAGAAAGATTTTATGAAGTACTGTATCCTATATAAGATCAGTGAATCTTCTTACAAACTGTTAGTGTTTAGATTAAAATGAGTTTTCTGGTGGAGAGTTTGACCGTAATTATTAAAAACTTGAAAAAAAATTTATGTGATTTATCTAGAAATTTATATTACAAAATACTAAACACTTTATGGGGTAGCATGTTCACTGCATTGCCAACAGTGAATGTTTAGATATATTTTCAAGATCTAGCTATAAACAAAGCTGTACTGCCCAATGTGATAGTCACTGGGAAATTCTGGGTGTTTAAATTTAATTTGAAGTTAATGTACATTAACTAAAAATTTTTAAAGAATCAGTTCTTAACTAACACTGGTCACATTTCAGGAGTCCAAGATATGGCAGGAGTACTTTATGAAACACGGAAGAGTGGTTCCATCTATTCTGAATGATTGCTAAATCACTTACACATGGTTTAGTAGACAGTGCTACAAACTTAGGAGCAGAGAAGTGGCATGTTCACATGTGGGAAGACTGATTTTCTGGCAACTGCTAGGTAAAACTAGTGTGGCACAAATCAGAAGTGAGTAGGGTAAATAATTTTTTTTATGCAGTTCAGGAAAAGAGGAAATAAGATTTTGAACCAACTGACAATAGCAATGGAAATCAGGAGAAATGTGGTAGAGACTCTTTAGAGACAAAAGCTGGAATTTGGAGGCTACATTGAAATGTGAAACAGATCAGGCATCTCTAAAACTTCTCAAACAAAAATAAAGCTCAAGAGCAAAGTTTGACAAAGGAAGTATATTTTTAAATGGGAAAGTCTAGAAAAAGTATTATCATAAAATGTTCAAATTTTTCTTAGATTAAGATTTGAGAAGCTAAAATATTATGGGACTAGAGGAGGCTTCCATTATCAGGACCTTTCAGCTGCGTAAGGTTTAAGCTCACATTGTACAATGTAGAGTGTTTTTTCCAATTATCACACTACACAAAATACTCATATAAGATTTTAGATGAAGTCTAAAGATGACTGAATAAAATAACTACTTATAGTAATCAAATTTTCTGATTACTTACCCTTACAAACCATCTGTAGTTTCGTCTTGGTATTATTAACTTTACTCTTTGTTGATAAAAAACACAATCTTATATTTTGTACACTTTGCTACTTTTATCAGAAGATAATTTAATCAGTTAATAATTGGATTAGAACTTACACAATGAGTGCTTATATTTAGTTGAATTAAAGTTCTTCATTAATGCATGACATTTGATATTTAAATAAGAACTCTGTAAAGCACATTATATTTTATAGCTGATAATGAAAAAATATTTAAACATTCTCATTCATTGAGATACTTGTGATAAGAAATATCTTTAAATTGGTGATTTTTAAACAAAGAAAACATATTACATTTACATTTTTAAATTGGTATTTTTTTTTTTTTTTTACTGGGGATCAAACTCTGGACCTTCTACTTGTGAGGCTGGTGGCAGTACCACTGAACTTAAACCCCCTGTCCCAGTTGGTGAAATTTTTAGAGAAAGAAAACATATAGCATTACATTTGCTTATATAGCATTTTAATCTCATCCAAATTTCTTAAGAACTATGCCATGTGTATTGTTTATCCATAATGCACTGTGCAACCATTTCACAGAACAGGGACCGTAACTTGAATCTTTGTATCTATCTTTGTTTTTACACATGCATGCTAATATATATA